TCTGGTTAGTGGCACCCTCACAAAGTGAAAGGGGTGAACAAGCAGGCATCCCATATCAGAGTGCCAGTTCCAGTCCCAGCTTCTCAGCTTCCAATCTAGCTCCTTGCTAATGCACCTGGAAAGCAACAGAGGATGGTCCAAGTGCTTGGGCCCCTGCCACCCACATGAGAGACCCAGATGGAGTTCCAGGTTCCTAGTTTCAGCCTGGCCCAGCCCTGGCAATTGCAATCATTTGGGGAGTGAACCAGCAGATGGACAATCTCTCTCTTTCAAATAAATAAATCTTAAAAAATAATAATAATAATAACTGCAGCACCTAAAAAGCACCTGGCTATCCTGCTCATGTCCCCTGGTTCCGACGAACACTCTCCCTGCTTGCATTCCCATGCTTTGTGCTTTCTGTCAGTGCTCTCGTACTTCTTGGGATGACAGCTCACAGATCATCTTTCGATTCTCTTGGTTACTCTGTCTTCTGTCTACAGTAACCATGTATAAGTCTCTAACAAAGGATTCTACAAAGTACAGTGTAACAAAGTAATTTGCTGTCCTTTGCTGAATCAGAAGATACTTCACAAGTGTGGTAGGGTGACTGGGATGTCAAAACATGAAGAGGGAGGGAAGAGATGCAGAATCTAGCAAAGGCATGGGTATAAGGAAAAAAAATGTTACCTTTTGGAAACCCAATGTAGTTGAGGGAATATTGAGACTAGCCAGGGATCAGGTGGAAAAGGAAGAGTTTCTATTTTTGGCTATTTTAACATTATCTTATTAATTTTTGAATCTCTAGATTAGTACTACATCTACCATACAACAGGGCAATAAATGTTCAGGGAGTAAATTTACCACTTGAGGAAAACACAAAAATAAGAAAATTCCTAAAGGAACAGCATTTCTTGAAACAACTTCTTTATAGATCAATATGGGTAAAATAGAAGATTAAGGTAGGAGCCGGCACTGTGGCACAGCCAGTTAAGCCACTGCCCAAAACAGCAGCATCCCATATTGCAGTGCCAGTTTGAGTCCTGGCTGCTCCACCTCCAATTCACCTCCCTGTTCATGCTCAAGTGCCATAATGGCCCAAGTGCTTGGTCTGCTGCCACCCTCGTGGGAGACCCAGAGGGACCTCTTGGTTTTAGCCTGGCCCAACCCTGGTTGCTGTGGCCATTTGGGGTATAAACTAGTATATGGAAGCTCTTTCTCTGTCTCTCCCTCTCTCTCTCTGACACATTTATTTTTTAGTTATTTGAAAGGCAGAGTCACAGAGAGAGAGGGAGAGACAGAGAGAGAGCTTCCATACGCTTGTTCACTCCCCAAATGGCCGTAATGGCTGGGGCTAGGCCAGGCAGAAGCTAGGAGCCAAGAGCTTCTTCCAGGTCTCCCACACAGGTGCAGGGGTCCAAGGCCTCTGCCTATCTTCTGCTGCTTTCCTAGGCCATTAGCAGGGAGTTGGATCAAAAGTGGAGCAGCTGGGATTCGAACCAGCGCCTATGTGGGATGCCAGCATTGCAAAGATAAATCTTAAAAAAAAAAAAAAAAAAAAAGACCAATGTAATCTTTTTTTTTTTTTTTTTTTTTTTTTTGGACAGGCAGAGTGGACAGTGAAAAAGAGAGACAGAGAGAAAGGTCTTCCTTTGCCGTTGGTTCACCCTCCAATGGCTGCCGTGGCTGGCGCGCTGCGGCCGGCGCACCGCGCTGATGCAATGGCAGGAGCCAGGTACTTATCCTGGTCTCCCATGGGGTGCAGGGCCCAAGGACTTGGGCCATCCTCCACTGCCTTCCCTGGCCACTGCAGAGAGCTGTCCTGGAAGAGGGGCAACAGGGACAGAATCCGGCACCCCGACCGGGACTAGAACCCGATGTGTCAGCGCCGCAGGCGGAGGATTAGCCTAGTGAGCCGCGGCGCCGGCCATTTCTTTTTTTTTCTTTCTTTTCTTTTCTTTTTTCTTTTTTTTTTTTTTACCAGGCAGAGTGGAGACAGTGAGAGAGACAGAGACAAAGGTCTTCCTTTGCCATTGGTTCACCCTCCAATGGACGCTGCGGCCGGCACACCGCGCCAATCCGAAGGCAGGAGCCAGGTGCTATCCTGGTCTCCCATGCGGGTGCAGGGCCCAAACACTTGGGCCATCCTCCACTGCACTCCTGGGCCACAGCAGAGAGCTGGCTTGGAAGAGGGGCAACCGGGACAGAATCCGGCACTCCGACTGGGACTAGAACCCGGAGTGCCAGCGCCGCTAGGCGGAGGATTAGCCTGTTGAGCCGCTGCGCCGGCCCCAATGTAATTATTTTCAAACTATCAAAAATAAAATGACATCTGAAATAGTACACTTTGTTGATTAAAACTGTTAAGATATTTAAATAAGCGCTATATGGCAAAATTTTATTTCTGATGAATTATAAACACTAACATTTACAGCAACTTTTCAGAAGTATATATAAATCAAAAGTTATTTTTAACCAGCTGCAATAGTTTGTAGCCTTTTTGTGTGTAACGGACACTCTTTCCAAATATTTGTAAATGTATGCAATTCATAGGATAAGAAAAAGATAAAATCCTCAATCACAAAGAAAATCAATTATATTAAAATTGATTTCTAACCACAAACCACAGTTCTAATAATGGACCTTGGGTTTAAGAACTCCTAATAGAAGATATGAGTTAACTCAGAAAAGCATACAACAGATAATTTTTCCCTAAATATTCTATAAATGAGATATCTACAGTATTTCTATTAATAAAAAACCCATAGTAACTTGCCAAGTTACTTAAAGGTGAAATAATCTTTGAGGACTTAATCTGTTACAACAAATTGCATCCATTTCTTGTTCATTATATATACATATACTGTAACACAAAACTTCCAAAAATCATCAGTACAAAATTAGTAATATGCTAATGCTACATTTGTATCATCACTAATTTCTTTTATCTAGCTGTTAATAAATGACATGAATTACTTCTCCTCCTTCTTTAAAACTAGAGCTCATATGTAAGAGTAGGTTAGACCCTTTTATCTCTAACATACCATGTTCAAAATGTCTCCAGATGCCATATTTAAGCTACCTAGGTTACCTTTTGGGGGAGGGAAGGGTTGTCAAACAAGATCTGCTACAGTCTATTAGGAATTATTTGTCTTTTCTAAGACAGTTCAATCCACCACTGTAAGAGATCAGACATATTTTTGGGAAGTTGTGTGGTAAAGCAGTATCTCCTCTAGCCTGGCAGGTGAGTGAGTTCCAAACAGGAAGGAAAACAATTCTGAGTCTGGCTCAAGAGTGTACCTCACATTAGAACAGATAAACTATTTTCCTTCTTAAACTCTGTCTTGCTAAAACAAACTGCCAAACCATTTGGTACCCAAGCTGTATTTCTTGACATTACTTTATTTACATAAACATTTAGTTGACAATAAGCAGTATGAAAGATCCCCAGTCAAAATGCTGAAAATTAGGGTTTTTTTAATGGAAAGTATCAACTAGATAGAAAAGTGTGCCTACTCACAAAAACAGGTATCTTTTTATAAACTATTTTTAGAAAAAATATTAACAAATTGATCATTAGTGACAAATGAATTATTACTGTCAAGTTCTATGAATTGTTATGAAATTTACATACTTTTTTAAAAAAATTTTTAATTCAAAGGGAAAAGGAAAGGCCTGGTCTTAATCTCTTGTTTATGGCTTAAGCATAAATGCATATGACCACTCATTAGTTTGGTTAATGAACAAACTTAAATAAATCACTTGCATGGTTTACCACCATTAATCACGAACCTAGACAAACTGTGGAAAGTTCACTTTGAAAGTCTTCAAAACAACAACAACAAAAAATGTTTTTCAGGCCATTAATTAACTCCTACCTACAGAGAATCTATTTGTAATTCTTATACAAGGGCACATAAACCACATATTACTTTTGCAGAGCAAGTTTTGTTCACTTTTGTGCTTCTAATTTCTCTTCAACAGGATGACATCTCTTAGCCTAAATCATCATCCTGGAACTGACAAGAATAAAAAATAAGCTAACAAGTATCAATTTTACCAAAAGTTCACTTTGCCAGAATTCTGTGTTAGCACTTGCTACTTCTTTTAAAGGGTGAAAACTGGCAAGGCTCTTCTTTAAACATGAACTAAAAGCAAATCAGATCCCAATCACAAAGCACTTCCCAAGTTTACTGTTAAACTTACTTTAAAAATAGACTTGAAAATTCCTTGGAAATATATATGTATATTTCCAGATAAGGGAACATTCGGAAAACTGCTAACAGTGAGAGCCTTGCAGTACATTTTGCTGGCATTAATCAGACTTTGCACTGATAAAGAAAACCTTGTATCAGGATGACAAAACCTCAAAACAGGCTCAGACTGCGAGCTTCGGAAAGCCTCCCCATTACACCTGTGGAAGCACTTCCTGTTCTCCAACGCTGTTGAAAGGTAGTTTAGTAAACGTCCCATAAGCCACGATTTAGAAGGTAAACATTAACTTCAGACACCCAGAAACCACCAAGCCCAAGATTCTCACGAATCCAAAGGGTCTATTAACCCTCCTGAATCCCTTTAAAAAGCTGTGTGTGCGGAGAGGCAACGTGACTTGGAAAGTGAGGGGCGGCGGGCGCCCAGCAAGCAATGGATATTTTCAGTGCCCCACTGCACCAAGCGACCTCAGCAGGACTCGGATTCGGCCCCATCCCCGCCCTCCCACACGGCAGCAATAACAACCACGACCCAGTAAGTGCAGCACCTCCTCCCTGCTCGCGCGCCTGCAGCCTGCCCAGAGGCATCTCTGCCAGGGCCCGGGCGCAGCGGCACGGGGCTGGAGGGCTGCGTGACCTCGGGCGCCTTAGCTGCCCGGCTCCGAGCCTAGGGTCGACAGGGCGTGGAGGAGGTGGCGGGACGGCAGCCGGGAAGCCGAGGTCTGGGGCTGGAAAGAGAGTGTCCCAGCCAGGCCCTTGGGGGTCGCAGGTCGCCGGATCTCCACCCAGGGATTAGTTTCGAAGACTTACCTGGAGCTCTCCCCTCCCAGCGCGAGGAGCTTGCGGTCCAGGTAGAGAAATACGGCCCTTCCACTCCCACAGGGTCACCTCCCGCTGACCCGGCTCCGCTTCACGCCGACACCCAACACACACACACACCAACAGCTGCCACCGCGCCGAGGCTCACCGGGAACTGGAGCAGCGGCGGCTGCTCTCCGCCGCCCAGAGCCCGACCCCGCGCGCGGAGCATGCGCACACGCCCCAATGCCCAGGGGCCAGTCAGGGCACTGACACCTGCGATCAACAGGTCCCTGGGGCCCCGCCCCTCTCTCCGCCTCGCGCTCGCCACGCCCCCTCGGGGCAGGCCCCGCCTTCACGCTCACCGAGCGCACCCCGCCCCCGCACGCGAATTCCCGGCTTGCGGGACCTGCGGAACTCTATTCCCGCGGGGGTTCGATGGGGCGCTGGATCGTTTGGCTTGCCGGGGAGGCGCGAGATCCCGCGAGAGCAGGACCGAGGACGTGCCCCCAAAGCGGGAGCCCAGCGCCGTGGCGGAGTTGTTGCGAGGGAAAGTGGCTGGGGCTCGTTCCCGCGGTGGCGAGACCGAGGGGCCGGTTGGTTGCTCCAGCGGCGGTGACTGCTCGGCTGCCGTTGGCCGTGTACTCGGTATTTTCTCAACTCGGGATCCTGGTCCGCCAAGGACCGGGCTTAGGATTAGGTGTTGTTCCCTAAGAGAGAGAACGATGTATACTGCTTGGCGTCAAAACCCCGTGCGGATACGCAGTTCCCTTTGGCTTTCTGTGAGTCACGACGGTCTGTTTGCAGTTAAATGGCTTCCTTGGGCAAGAAAGTATACTCCCCAACTGCTTGGGATTCGTGACCAATAATAACATAAAAGCGTTAGCAAGCGTGTTGACCCGGTTAATGGTTAATTGTCAGGAAAATGTAACTGCCTCCCTACCGTGCTCTCCAACAGGTTTTAAGTTACAAAGCTGCTGGAATACAGCTTCACTTTGGGATGTTTTGAGTTTCGGGTTTTTGTTTTTGTTTGTTTGTTCCTTAGGAATTGTAGTGAATAAGAGCCTTCCACCATCATTGGTATCCCGATCGATGTCTCTAAGTACTTAAAGAGTTTGGAACGCAGTCTAAAGCCGATGCAAGTGGAACATAAGGATTATAAAAAGGGATTTACTTAAACTCATGCGTAACCATAAGAGCTTAAGAAAATAGGATTGGAAAAATCGTTGGAGGTTGGTCTGGGCGACAAATACGACCGGTTTAGAGTGCTTGAAGCTGAATCAATGTGAATTTATTGAACATTTAACATGTTCTGTTCACTGAATTAGGCATCAAAAGAAATACAATGCAATGAAATTATGCCGTGGTTCCTGCCTTCAAGATACTAAAAATCCTTGAACGGAGAGAAAAAGAACATGCTGCATTTTAAAACACCATTTTAATAACACCATGAAACCGCTCTTCATTTCTTAGTACCATTTCCTCCTGGTTCTGCCACCACCTCCCTGATGTACTTTACATGTCTCTCTTCCTCTGTGTTCCCCAGCACCCCGTTTTCTTATGTGTTTTTGTTGCTTGGTTTACTACTCATGTCTCCTTGAGCAATCTCTTCTCTGTCATAGACTTACCTATTCCGGTATCCTGTGAACCATGAATTAAAGAAGTGAGTGTTAAGGTTATACCCTCTAAGCAATAGCATCTTTATTTTCATTTCACACAAATGCCTTAAATATATCCCAAGATGGTGTGGGCATCTTTACCATTAAGTTACTTCTGATGTCATCTCTTTCCCCACCCTTCTGAAATCTAGGCCATTTCTATTTCCTATTTCAAATGGTGGTACCCAACTGTCCAAGTCAGAAATCCATGCATATCCCCATGTTACTTTTTCTTCCATTCCTCTATCCTACTAAGTTTTATTGAGTCTTATCTCAAGTAAATCTCAAATCACGGCTTTTAATCTCCACTCTGTCTTATTCCTTCAGGTAATCATCAGTTCTTATGACTTATCTCCCAATATCCATGCAATAGCCTCTACTTAGTTCCCACTCCAATCCAAACTCCATTCTATTGGCAACCTTTCAAACTCCAAAGTGTGATTAAGATTCTCCTCTGCTAAGAATTGTTTACATTCCCCCATCGTAATCTGGCTCCAGACTGTGAACCTCATCTGCCACTCTGCCCCCATTCACGCCAATCTAAATTCTTTGCCTTTCTGTGATCCTACTAGGCCCTCTCGAGTTCCTTCAGGTCTCAATTGACTGTGTATGTCCTCCATAGATCCTTTGATAACTTTCTGAGATGGACTTGTCCTTCCTTCACCCTTTTTGGACTTAACTTCCTTTGTAACAATTGCCTTGTGCCATGATTATTTCTCTGCAGATATAACTGATACAGCCACCCTCACCTCTACTTTTAAGAAATTATTTGAACTGGGCCGGCGCCGCGGCTCACTAGGCTAATCCTCCGCCTTGCGGCGCCGGCACACCAGGTTCTAGTCCCGGTCGGGGCGCCGGATTCTGTCCCGGTTGCCCCTCTTCCAGGCCAGCCCTCTGCTGTGGCCAGGGAGTGCAGTGGAGGATGGCCCAGGTGCTTGGGCCCTGCACCCCATGGGAGACCAGGAAAAGCACCTGGCTCCTGGCTCCTGCCATCGGATCAGCGCGGTGCGCCGGCCGCGGCGGCCATTGGAGGGTGAACCAACGGCAAAGGAAGACCTTTCTCTCTGTCTCTCTCTCTCTCACTGTCCACTCTGCCTGTCAAAAAAAAAAAAAGAAATTATTTGAACTGTGTATAATATAGGCCATGCTCCCTCCCTTCCTCATTGAGAGATGACAGAAGAATAACTTTGAGTTCACCTTGCTCAAGAATTTGACTATACATTTTTTAAATCATATAATTTCAAACCTTTTACCAGTTCTTGGCATATATCAGTATTCTTTTAAAGGTACATTTTACTTATTTGAAAGGCAGAGTTACAGAAAGAGAGGGAGAGACAAACACAGAGATGGGGGGAGGGAGAAGTAGGGGGAGATTAATTCCATACAGTAGTTCACTCCCCCAAAATGGCTGAAACGGCTGGTCTGAAGCCAGGAGCCTGAAACTTCATCATGGTCTCCCACATGGGTTGCAGTGGCCCAAGTATTTGGCCATCTTCCACTGCTTTCCCAGCTGCATTAGCAGGGAGCTGACTAGCCAGGACTTGAACCGGTGCTCATATGGGATGCCAGTGTTGCAGGTGGCAGCTTAATGCATTGTACCACAACCTAGCCCCAATACTGACTTTTAAATGATAGATTTATAGTTGATCCCACTGTAAGCAGCAAGAGAGCAAAGCCTGAAGATGGAACAAAAGAAAAGAAAATTGACCCTACATCACGTAACAGGTCAGGAGATGCCCCTAGAAACATTTGCAGTCCAGGAGATCACCACACAGATTTAGAAGTATTGTCTCTCAGAATTACTGTTTGTCCTTGAGGGATATCTGCCCTTCACACAGACAGCAGTCATGAAAGGGAGAAGGCTCAGACTATCTGAGAATACCCTAGATTGTCAGCTGAGTTCCGAAGTCTCACATTGTCAGCACCAGCACAGCTATATATCTTACTGTCATTCTGGATTGGCTGCAACTTATACTTGGGGAAATGTAGTATCATGTGGTTAGATTCACCCTACCAGTGTTGACTGGTATGAGTAGCAGTATTCTGTCCTGAGGAGCAGTGATCCAGTCGCTCCAGGAGGAAATCAACAGCTAAAGGCGGGGCAGACCATGACTGAATTGGGTGTGGTAGGTTGAAATGCAGCCTGGAGAAGTAGTAGCTGACTGAGTGACTCAGGCTGTGATACCAGACAAATTCCTTCCTTCCTACTTGCCTAAATGAGGACTCACAAAAGTTATTTCCTTACTAACTAAACTCCTAGAGAGCAGGAGCTGTATTTGTTTCACTGTATGTCCAGGACATAGCACAGTGCCTGTCATGGATAATAAACAAATATGTACTCTGTGGATGGGATAAAAAATTGGAACAGTTACTGGTTTTTTAGGGAGGGCCAGAATGGTTGGCAAGGATTGTTGTGGAAGACTAAGTATGAGCTTCAGCTTGGAAGGTTCATAGGCAAGTGTATTTGATGTCATTGAAGAAGAATATGACTGTGAAAAGAGCAAAGTTTTAAAAACAGGAATAAACAAGGCCCGTGTTGTGGCACAGTGGGTAAAAGTCCCGGCCTACAGTGCCAGCATCCCATATGGGTGCAGGTTCAAGTCCTGGTTGCTCCACTCCTGATCCAGTCCTCTGCTGCGGCCTAGGAAAGCAGCGGAGGATGGCCCAAGTCCTTGGGCCCTACACCCATGTGGGAGACCTGGAAGAAGCTCTTGGCTCCTAGCTTCGGCTTGGTTCAGCCCTGGTCGTTGGGGCCATCAGGGAGTGAACCAATGGATGGAAGACCTCTCTCTATTTCTTCCTCTGTGACTCTGTCTTCAATAAATAAAATAAATCTTAGAACAGGAAGCACAAGACCAGTACAGGGCTATAATGGAAATCTTTTATATATTCTTAAACAGGACAATTCAGCGGGAGTAGATACCAAGAATTGTAGAGGAGAGTATAGCTGGAAAAGAAGAGAAACCTTCAGGCTGTGATCCAACCTAAAAAAAATCTCACAGCCACTCCCTCCTTGACACACTCACATCCCCACTTATGTAACATCATCTCTCATGGCTTTCTTCTTCCCTCATCAGATGTTCCTTCTCCATCTACTTTTGCACTTTTTAATCTTCTTTAGATGATTATGTGCCTTATGCATGATCCTGAGATATCATTTATCTTCATGGCTTTAAATCCATTTCCTACATAGCCCTCAAAGCAGCCTATGAAAATTATAAACCTATTACTCCCAGCTAAAATTGTTCAGTGCCTTACCATTTTCATAGAATAAGATCCAAAATTCTTGCCAAGGCCTCTAGGTCTCGGAATGATCTGCCCTTACACTGCTGTCCCCCCCACCACCACCACCAACACACACACTTCATGCAATTCAAGACTTCCGTTCTCTATCCCTACGTTTACAAGACTAATTCTCAGCTGGAGGTTATTTTGATTCCCCTGGGACATTTGGCACGAGCAGAAAACATTTTTCGTTGCCATAGTGGAGGATGAGATGCTGCTA